ATATCAAAGAAACTAAATAATTTAATTTTTTATGAAATCAAACAAAGTTTAATTTTGGACCCTTTGGACCTCAATGTGGACCAATTTAAAAACGGGCCCCAATAATCCAAAATCGCAATATCCAGTTTGATTCAGCATATTAAAGAACCCCGCAAATTCAAGACTTTGAATTAAACCCCATTGAAATTGGTTAAAAAATAAGCAATTTATACAAAAGGTATTGTTTTTTGCCCATTTTTCCTTTGGAACGGTTTGCACCATAATCCCCAAAATCAATCCAAACCTTTCTTTTGAGGTATGGAACCTTGTGGTACAATTTGATAGAGATCCACAATCTTATACCAAAGTTATTGTCCTGAAACAAGAACAAGAACAAGAGGCTCTCGAGAGCCTGTGTCGCTCACCTGTATCTTCTGTGGTTTTGGAAATCTTCTGTTGTTTTGGAAATCATGTAAAATAAGGTTTAAATCATGATAAATAGTATAAGATACCCTAATAATGATTGAGGCCAAGTTTGGTTTAATTTGGCCCAGTAGTTAAATTAAAAGCAGGTCATCCCACTAGTAACTAGACTTACAATAGTTGCTCAAGACCCCTTATCATTTTTTAAAGTAGTTTTCAAGTTTTGACCATTTGAAATTGTTTTCCCTTAGACTTCTATAGTAAATCCCTTTGTTCTATTTTTAGCCATGGCGGCCATGTTGGTTGGATGACAGGGTCATCGGATACATTTTTCAATCAAGATACCCTTTTGAAAATTGTGGCCAAGTTTAATTCTATTTGTCCCAGTAAATTCAGTGGAGAAGATTTTTGTAAAAGATTAAAAATATTTACGCAAAAAATTGTTAAAAATTTGATTATAAAGGGCAATAACTCCTTAAGGGGTCAATTGAAAATTTTAGTCATATTGACTTATTTGTAGATCGTACTTTGCTGAACATTATTGCTGTTTACAGTTTATCTCTATCTATAAAAATATTTAAGATAATAACAAATAAAATGCTTCGCTGGGCGCAGCTTGATTTGACCGCAGAGGTCGAAACCCTGAACAGTTAGGGCAAGTATGGACACAACATTCAAGCTTGATACAGCTCTGAATTTGGATTGTGATTAAATATTTGACACAGCATAGGTTTCTGACACAGAAAGAATGTGGTCTAAGAACTTGAATTTTTTAAATTTACCTATTATGGTCCAATGTCCAAAATCAAAATACATGGTTAGATTCAGCATATCAAAGAACCCCATATATTCAATTTTTGTTGAAATCAAACAAAGTTGAATTTTGGACCCCAACTTGGACAAACTTGAAAACTGGGCCCATAATCAAAAATCTAAACACATGTTTAGATTCAGCATATCAAAGAACCCCAATAATTCAATTTTTGTTAAAATCAATTTAAGTTTAATTTTGGACCCTTTGGACCTTAATGTAGACCAATTTAAGAAACAGGACCCAAAATTAAAAATCTCAAAAACACGGTTAGATTTGGCATATCAAAGAACCCCAATAATTCAATTTTTGATGAAATCAAACGAAGTTTAATTTTGGACCCTTTTGACCTCAACATGAACCAATTTGATAGTGGGGTCCACAAATAAAAAATCTAAATACATGGTTAGATTCAGCATATCAAAGAACCCCATATATTCAATTTTTGTTGAAATCAAACAAAGTTTAATTTTGGACCCCGATTTGGACCAACTTGAAAACTGGGCCAAAAATCAAAAATCTAAATTCATATTTAGATTCAGCATATCAAAGAACCCCATATATTCAATTTTTGTTAAAATCAAACAAAATTTAATTTTGGACCCTTTGGACCTTAATGTAGACCAATTTGAAAACTGGACCCAAAATTAAACATCCAAATACACGGTTAGATTCGGCATAACAAATAAATAAATGTGGTCAAATATTTTACAAATCTAATGCACCATACTGTGCAATTAAAGATTACTTCTTGAAATTTTTCAATATTTGATATTTGAAGAATAATTCTTTTTAATTTCTGAAATGAGAAAAAATTGACCCCCCACAATTTCTTTTTGCCCCCCCCCCCCCCACCTTTTTTTTCCCTCAAGATATGGTCATAATCTCAATTCAAATTTCCAATGGAGTTTGCAACCATAATTACCCATTTAAGTTTACTATAGTGCTAACTTAATCTATTTTATAATAGAATTTAAAATATAGTGTCAAATCTTTCATATGGATTTTTTTGTAAAAAAAAAAAAATGCAACATTTGCAGATATTTTTACTGGTCTTCTTTATAAATATGCATTTCTTTAAACATAATTTAAAAGCAGTGTAAGGGAAGTAACCAAAACGTTGTATTTGGATTACCTCTCTTACACTGTTTTAAATTATCTTAATTGTTCATTAACCATTACTTTATACATAATTTAAAAGCAGTGTAAGGGAGGTAATTTCAATGATGTATTTGATTTATCTCCCTTACACTGCTTTAAATAATGTTTTGTACTAAAGTATTTGTCCATTAACCAGGACAACCTTGTTTTTCCCCTAATTCCTAAACGGTTTGAGCCATAACCCCCAAAAGCAAATCCTAACCATCCCTTTGTGGTATGGAAACTTGTAGTATAATTTGCAACCATAATTACCCATTTGAATTTACTATAGTGCTAACTTAATCTATTTTATAATAGAATTTAAAATATAGTGTCAAATCTTTCATATGGATTTTTTTGTAAAAAAAAAAATATGCAACATTTGCAGATATTTTTACTGGTCTTCTTTATAAATATGCATTTCTTTAAACATAATTTAAAAGCAGTGTAAGGGAAGTAACCAAAACGTTGTATTTGGATTACCTCCCTTACACTGTTTTAAATTATCTTAATTGTTCATTAACCATTACTTTATACATAATTTAAAAGCAGTGTAAGGGAGGTAATTTCAATGATGTATTTGATTTATCTCCCTTACACTGCTTTAAATAATGTTTTGTACTAAAGTATTTGTCCATTAACCAGGACAACCTTGTTTTTCCCCTAATTCCTAAACGGTTTGAGCCATAACCCCCAAAAGCAAATCCTAACCATCCCTTTGTGGTATGGAAACTTGTAGTATAATTTGCAACCATAATTACCCATTTGAATTTACTATAGTGCTAACTTAATCTATTTTATAATAGAATTTAAAATATAGTGTCAAATCTTTCATATGGATTTTTTTGTAAAAAAAAAATATGCAACATTTGCAGATATTTTTACTGGTCTTCTTTATAAATATGCATTTCTTTAAACATAATTTAAAAGCAGTGTAAGGGAAGTAACCAAAACGTTGTATTTGGATTACCTCCCTTACACTGTTTTAAATTATCTTAATTGTTCATTAACCATTACTTTATACATAATTTAAAAGCAGTGTAAGGGAGGTAATTTCAATGATGTATTTGATTTATCTCCCTTACACTGCTTTAAATAATGTTTTGTACTAAAGTATTTGTCCATTAACCAGGACAACCTTGTTTTCCCCTAATTCCTAAACGGTTTGAGCCATAACCCCTAAAAGCAAATCCTAACCATCCCTTTGTGGTATGGAAACTTGTAGTATAATTTCAGTGAGATCCATACACCGTTCCACAGTTATTGTCTGGAAACTAGAAAATGCTTATTTTTGGCCTCTAATTCCTTAACTGTTGGTACCATAACCCCCAAAATCAATCCCAACCTTTCTTTTGTGGTATTTAACCTTATGGTAAAATTTCAAAGAGATCCATTCACTTAAACTAAAGTTAGAGTGCGAAAACCAATGTGTCTTCAGACGACGACGACGCCGAAGAAGACGACGACAACGTCATACCAATATACGACCGCAAAAACTTTTTGCGGTCGTATAAAAACTGCAAAATTTCCTTAAAATTACCAATATTCAGAGGCAGCAACCCAACGGGTTGTCTGATTCGTCTAAAAATTTCAGGGCAGATAGATCATAACCTGCTGAACATTTTTACCCACGTCAGATTTGCTCTAAATGCTTTAGTTTCAGAGATATAAGCCAAAGACTGCATTTTACCAATATGTTCTATTTTTAAATATGTTTGCCATCTTGGTTGGCAGGCAGGTCATCGGACACATTTTTTAAACTAGACCCTAATGATGATTGTGGCCAATCTCAGAGGAGAAGATTTTTGTAAAAGTTAACGACGACGGACGCCAAGTGATGAGAAAAGCTCACTTGGCCCTTAGAGCCAGGTGAGCTAAAAATGCTTGTTTTTGACAGAGGGACGACGAAAACAATATAATTTGCAGTTGTATAAAAACTAAAAAATTTCAAGCAGTCAAGGACAATGGACACATAAAAGACAGATTGATTGATTGATTGTTGGTTCCTTAACATCCAGTGACAAATATTTCATGCATATTCAGGACGACATGAAAGACAGAAACTTCGTAACATAAAGTATTTGTGTATAAGGTATGAAGCATCAAAGTCATCTACCCAGAGAATATAAAGCTAAATGCAAATAGTTTCAGCAGTCACTGGATTGTAATCCTTTTGACTCGCATTCGCAGGCGAGACAAAAAAATAAGTCTTTATGGTAAATTTTACCCTAAATTATCAAAGAAATCAATATTTAACACTGGGAACCAATATTGAATAGCATTTCATAACTCGTATATCAAATTTTGTGAAAACGCTTTCTCAAAATTTGTGATTTTTTTTACAAATACCAAGTTTTCTACCACTTTTTCCCAAATTTTACATAAAACACAAGGGACCTTCCTTTTTCATTTATTTCCATTTAGCACATTAATTTTTTAAATTAGTTGAGACAATCTTGACTTATTGTATGCCATAGAAGTATTGACAGACAGACAAACAGAGAGACTACTGTATTGGGGTCATGTCAACTACTGGGCCCTAATAATCAACATTTATTGTCACAATAGATATACAATCAATTTATGACAAAATAAGTTGTAAAGTAGAGGCAATAATCTCTTTTTGGGCAGCAATAAACTCAGTAAATAGATATGAAAATTTAATTCTCAAATTCATCATTTTTTAGAAAAAATAACATATTTGATCCCAGTGTTACACTTCACATTTTGACAAAATCCAGCTATATATCTGCAAATAACAATTGCACAAATTCTGACACCTCAAGTTGTATTGTCTAACTTCATGTTACTTCTTTTTGTTCATTACTTGACATCTCTCATTACATCTTGGTAGTTAAACCATCAATTCACTAGTTTATACATGTTCCTGAAAGAAAAAGCACATATTATTGTATAAGTAAATGTCTTAATGCTGACTTGTGAATCATGATGCAAGTTTCAGCATTTGGCAGAGCTAAAATTGCATATTTCATAGTATTTTCTGACTTGTGAATATACAAGTTTTATCCACTTAGAGTACATTTGGCAGAGCTTAATGTAAAATAATTTAATATAAAACTTTATTCCAAAATGTTAATAAACTGCTTCGCCGAGCGCAGCTGGATACGACCGCAGAGGTCCAACCCTGAACAGTTGGGGTAAAAATGGACACAATATTCAAGCTTGATACACTAGGTCTGAATTTGGATTGTAATTAAATATTTGACACATAATAGATTTCTGACACAGAATAAATGTAGTCAAAGAACTTGAAATTGGTTGTATGATTTGAATTTATATTCAATTGAAGATTTATTGCTGTTGTGCAATACACTGTTCTGTTGCGCAATACTTAGTAAATCTGTTTTCAGACTATATACAAAGAATTAGCAAAATAAATTGTGACCCCCAATTTTTTTCTTTGGAAAATTGACAATTTCTTAAATCTTGAGGGAAAAAAATTGAACCCCCCAAAAAATTTTTTTTACCCCCCCCCCTCCAATTTTGAAGAAATTTTCTTTTTGTAAAATGTGGTACAAATTAAGAGACATCCATACACTTAAACACAAGTTATTGTCTGAAAACTAGAAAAATGCTTGTTTTAGACCCTTTTCGGCCCCTAATTCCTGAACGGTTTGGGCAGTTACCCCCAAAATAAATCCCAACCTTCTACTTGTGGTATTGAACCTTTTGGTACAATTTCAGAGCAATCAAAATACTTATACACAAGTTATTGTCCTCAAACTAGAATCAAAGCGCGAAAGCGCTGTAAAGGCAGTTAATTACAGGTTGTGTGTATTTTTAGTCCAGTTATATCATTATCTTGCATAGTACATTGTACTTATCAGAGGTGGCTTTCAGTATTTAAGATTTAGAGTTCTCTAATGATATTGAACAAGTTTTATGAATGTCATATTCTGAGCACTATATGAAGGCGATTGTTCTCACTTGTTTATGAACTAGTGCATTATGTCCAGTTAGTACCTTTTTTATCTATGTTTATAGTCAAATACTGTTTAAAATAGTTTGGCATTTTCTTTTAAGTAATAAGTAAATGTTATCAACTGTATTTTATTCAACTTTGCAAATGTGGTTTGTTACTGGTAAGTACAATGTATGGATGATAGTTGTTTCATTGGCAATCATAACACATCTCCTTATTTATATAATGATCTATATTCAACGGACTCAGGTACAAAAAAAAATGTATGTAACTAAACTATGATGGGAAACCTTTGACTTCTTTCTTTAATATAAACTTTTGATTTGGTACCATAGAACTATGTAGAATAAATGTACATTGCAACATGTCAACTCTTTCAATGACAATACTTTTTTTAGAAACTATAACTCCAAGCAAAATTATATTTCCAAGTATAAAGTAATTTATGAATGAAACAAGAGTGCACATGCTGAAATGTCTCGCCTTCTTTACTAATCATTGATATTATGTTGATAGTCCTAAATATAAAGCTTTATTACAACTGTCACATAAACTTAACATTAACCAAGTAAACTAAACATTGACCAATGAACCAAGAAAATGAGGTCAAGGTTAGATGAACCATGCTAGGCAGGCATGTACAGCTAACAATTCTTCCATACAACAAATATAGTTGACCTATTGCTTATAGTTTAAGAAAAACAGACCAAAACACAAAAACTTAAAACTGAGCAATGAACCTTGAAAATGAGGTCAAGGTAAAAAAAAACCTGCGTGACTGACATACAGATCATAAAATATTTCCATACACCAAATATAGTTGAACTATTGCATATAGTATTAGAAAAAAAGACAAAACTCAAAAACTTAACTTTGACCACTGAACCGTGAAAATGAGGTCAAGGTCAGATGACACCTGCCAGCTAGACATGTACACCTTACAATCATTCCATACACCAAATATAGTAGACCTATTGCATACAGTATAAGAAAAACAGACCAAAACACAAAAACTTAACTATAACCACTGAACCATGAAAATGAGGTCAAGATCAGATGACACCTGCCAGTTGGACATGTACACCTTACAGTCCTTCCATACACCGAATATACTAGATCTATTGCTTATAGTATCTGAGATATGGACTTGACCACCAAAACTTAACCTTGTTCACTGATCCATGAAATGAGGTCGAGGTCAAGTGAAAACTGTCTGACGGGCATGAGGACCTTGCAAGGTATGCACATACCAAATATAGTTATCCTATTACTTATAATAAGAGAGAATTCAACATTACAAAAAATCTTAACTTTTTTTTCAAGTAGTCACTGAACCATGAAAATGAGGTCAAGGACATTGGACATGTGACTGACGGAAACTTCGTAACATGAGGCATCCATATACAAAGTATGAAGCATCCAGACCTTCCACCTTCTAAAATATAAAGCTTTAAAGAAGTTAGCTAACGCCGCCGCCGGATCACTATCCCTATGTCGAGCTTTCTGCGACAAAAGTCACAGGCTCGACAAAAAGGAGTTCTTAATTAAGAAATAAACTGATTCGCTGAGCACAGCTGGATACACCCGCAGAGGTCCAACCCTGAACAGTTGGGGCAAAAATGGACACAATATTCAAGCTTGATACAGGTCTGAATTTGGATTGTAATTAAATATTTGACATATTATAGTTTCTGAATAAATGTAGTCAAAGAACTTGAAATCGGTTATATGAAATGAATTTATATTCAATTAAAGATTTCTTGCTGTTGTGCAATACACTGTGCTGTTGCGCAATACTTAATAAATCTGTTGCCAGACTATAAACAAATAAAGTTCAATTTCTTCTCAATGTCATATTTGAAATTTATGAAAATCAATAGGGAGATTACATCAATAGCTATAAATAATTCATCAAAGTTTCATGCGAACTGCTTAAAGCATTTTTGAGTTTTGTCCAAAAACTGGAAAATCCCCCCTTTTTTAATGAATAAAACCCCATAACTCAGAAATGTAAAATCTAAAACTTATAAAATTCTAAAGGGAGCTTACGGATTGATAATTTAGTCTTAGATGCAAGATTTTTTTATCAGTTGTTAGTGGCTTTGAACTAGCTGTCAGTAAATGCGAGTACTCTCAGATCTGTACTTAGAGTCTTTTTGTTGTTTGGATGTACAACTACCCGGCCACATCCACTTGTATTTGTATTTATCCATCTGATGAGTTAAGCCTCTTTCAACTGATTTTTATAGTTCACTCTTATATTGTACTGTTACACCACTGTCCCAGGTTAGGGGGTGGGTTGGGATCCCGCGAACATGTTTAACCCCGCCACATTCTGTATGTACATGTATGTGCCTGTCCCGAGTCAGGAGCCTGTAATTCAGTGGTTGTCGTTTGTTTATGTGTTGCATATTTGTTATTCGTTCATTTTTTGTACATAAATTAGGCCGTTAGTTTTCTTGTTTGAATTGTTTTACATTGTCATTTCGGGGCCTTTTATAGCTCACTGTGCGGTATGTGCTTTGCTCATTGTTGAAGGCCGTACTGTGACCTATAGCTGTTAATTTCTGTGTCATTTGGTCTCTTGTGGAGAGTTGTCTCATTGGCAATCATACCACATCTTCTTTTTTATATTTACATCAACAGATATAAACAATTCACCAAAGTCAAGGTGAGACAACAAAACTTAGTTGTAAGATCTCTGAAATTATTTACACGGTACAAGTTTTTCTAATTGTTGGAGATTGTATGGTGACAGTAACACCTGTAACTGCTTAACCCATTTCTTATGCACTTTGGTTCGATAAACTCACTGAATATCATACCACATCTCCTTATTTTTATATGCATTACAATTTACATGTGCATGTAATTGTAAATAATATTTATATATATATATCAGAACAAACTTCATTGCGTCACTTTTATTTATGCATCCTTTGGCACAATACAAGTTCTAAAATTACACAACATAAAACAACTAAATGTTATTTCAGATGAAAGTTTTGTTTCAGTTCCATTCATAGGATTTATTAGAATTTTGTATGTTTTGCCCAGTCCAATAATTAGCTCTATGTGCACGTGTTAATTGGAGACTTTTCTATCCCGTATAAGAGTTTTGGAACTAATTCTGTTTCTTTTTTTGAAAAAAGTGAGCAAACAAATCTTGCACATTTAAACCTTTGTCTGCCATCACACTGTCACCTGGATCACATAATTGAACTATTCTACATCTTTCAACTATTTCACAGTCACTGGTACAACCAACATATGCATAAGAGACATAGTTGACTAAACCACCAGGTGTCGAACATACAAGTATTTTCAGTGTTTCTGTTTTTATATGATGAAAAGGTTGCCTGAGCTCTAGGAGCTTTAGGTTTTATCACGGGATATTCTGTGCTGTCAATAATAATCCAAGTTGTAGGAAACTTTAATTCTAAGTTGGATGGCGAAAAATACCTGACTAAACCACTAAATGGCCAAGTGTTAGCCTCACGCCACTGTTTAGACATAAAAACAATCCATGTTTACACAATATTCTTAACACTAGTTTCAATCTAGAATCTAGACAGTTCAAAGTTGGTTGTATAATGCATCAATTTCATCAAAGTCATAAAAAAACTGATTTTCAAATGACACCCTAGCAATTTGAAAATATATGTATCTCAAACAATGTGCTGTTGGACCAAGTGTGGTCAAAACAAATAAAAATTTAGTATACAACTCTAAACTGGTATAAAAATGCATGGCTGTGTCACGTGTCTTCATTTCAAAATTTCTCTGCTGAAAATATAGGCATTGATGGTGTTTGCGTAATTCCATCTGTGAAGCTCAACATAAGCTCGGCAGTTGGTGGTGGACAGTCATAAATCCTGTCTGCAGTATGAATTACTTCTTCAGGAAAACCAACTTTACAATCAAAACTTTCCTCTAGATTTCTACTACAATATTCATCAAGTTTAGTTCTTTTGTTTTCACAGGAAACTGCCCTGATTTTTCTTTTTACGTACGATTCAGTCTCTTGCTTGGTCCAGGAAAATAGGCTGGGATTGGCAGTAGACTTAAGTCTCTGTATGGTGGGTTTGTGCCCTGAAAAAGGTTATAAAACATTAGTTTTTTGATAATTAAATGAACTTCCATTAGCAATGCATACTTTGTACAGAAGCAAGTTAACTCGTACCATTGTAAACTCGTACCACGTAAACTCGTACCAACGTAAACTCGTACCACTGGGAAGTCGTACCAATCAGAACTTGTACCATTAAAAATATATTCAAAAATACGAAAGTTTTATGATTTTTTTTTTGGTAAACTAAATAAAAAAAGTTGAATTACTTGAATTTTATACTAGATTTTAATGAAAACTTAGACAAAAATACGAATGTTTTATGATTATTTTTTTTTTAAGCTTTATACAAAAAATTAAAATATCTTTGAAATTTATACCAGATTTTAATGAAAACTTAGACAAAAATACAAATGTAATTTCTTAATTACCATGCTAATAAATATATTAAATTCCTTTGATTGTGTGATTATTGGTTGATTATTAACTAATCAACTTGGTTTTTTTTATCTTTAACTAATCAACTTGTATAATCATATAAGCATGGTCATATTCTGCTGAAATGTGCTGAATATTGTATAAAAATAAATTTCATACTTTCTAACTGTTGGTCATAAACAATTTTAAACCTTTAAAACACAATCAATAAATTCTTTCATTAAATAAAATTCCTTTTAGAAACAATAGAAAAATACCCAAATCTATTCAATGTTACTGATTTGGAATGATTAAAAATTAAATCAAATAGTTGTCAGTAAAAGTTTAAAAAAGAGTCTATTCAAGGGAGACAACAAAGCCAATCTGCCACGGTTTTCTCTATCCAATTAGACAAGGAAAATTAGCTACAAATTGGTTATTGTAATTTCAAATTATATACATTTTACAGACTTAAGAGGTATTGAGTGAAATTAAAGTATATATTCATCATTAAACACTATTTGAATGCATTTAAATAAGTGGGTACGAGTTTACAATGGTATGAATTTACCGTGGTACGAGTTAGCAGTGGTACGAGTTTGCATTGGAACGAGTTTTTGTTTAGTGGTACGAGTTGACATTGGTACGAGTTACAATGGTACGAGATAACTATAATTCCTTTGTACTCGTAACCTGGCAAAATATTAACTAGATTTATTCATTACAATCTTAAAACTATGTTAGCCTGATTCAATGTACATCAAAATGTATGTTATGTAAATCCAAAGGACAAACAATGAGAGATGTATGCAACAAACATACATTGTTTGTACCTAAATAACTATAATATAGATGAGAGCATGTCATTGTTTTGTTCCTGTTAACAATGTCATTGATATTTTTCAAGAAAGTCTACGAGGCATAGCTTATGCATTCCTGTCATTACTACATAAGCATAATTACTGCTAAAATAATTCTCAGTATGATATACCTCTTGTAAGAAATCATTATAATTGTAGCAAGCACCAAAAAATCTCAAACAGATCACATTGAATCGTAATCCAAAAAATTATGACGTCTTGAATTAACCACCCCCTTTTATTCTAAAACGATAATTGCGGTTGTAAACTGACTTTGGTTTATTCGCATGGCGATTACATATATAACTATATATTTTAAAAAGAAAATAGAGTTTTACCATGAATAGTTTCCTGCACGTAGTCTTTTTTAGTAAAATGTGCCTTGCAAACAACAGCTGATTGAGATGGACTCCACGATTTCATCGTGTTCTCGTCCAATCTGCGTATGGGCCATGGCGTTGATCAAACTTTTCCTTCTTTTTAAGTCATTTGGAAATGCATGTCCTCCTCTTAAATGACATCCAGGTACACAACAACAAGTACTTGGCATCGTTAATTAAAAATGCAACTGTAATAGTTGCACAGTGCAGAAACCGGAAGTTGAAGAACAGGATCGGCTACCACGGCGCCACCTATTCAGGAACGATAATTTGCTACTTTATATAACTGCGAAATAACAATAACGTTAGACGGGTTCGCGTGCATAAACAGAAATGCGCTTTAAATTGGATAATATAATTCATGTTCAGTCGACCTTTAATTATTATATCAACGACTGAAATGATTTATAAACATCTAGATTGCAGAAAACACTCGAAATTAACCCGAGCTCTTTCCACACGGAATTCAAATAATTCTAGTTTGTCAATCGGTTGACTGCTTATAATGTAAAATACAAATATATCAAAAGTTTTTAAAACTAACAAAACACAATGATCGTTTCTCTATTTCCCAATGTAAATGAAATGAGACAAAAAACATTTTATACCACAATAAGAAGAGGAGAGAATCAACATTTTCCGGATCTACTTGGAGCTAAATGACCCCCCACGTAGATAAGTTGGATATCGCGGAAAGAAATATTAACACGGCAACTAGAAAGGCATTAAAGCACTGCCTTTAAAAATGCTTGTTTTGGCCCCTATTTCCTTAACAGCTGGGACCATCACCCCAAAAACAATCTCAACCTTCCTTTTGTGGTATTGAACCTTTTGGTTATATTTCATAGAGATCCATACACTTAAACTAAAGTTATTGTCTGGAATCCAAATGTATGATTTGAATTTATCTTTGAAGTTATTGGGTACTACACACGTAGTGTACCCTATGGATATCCGTTGAAGATTTTTGTCATAGGGTTGCTGTCTCATTGGCATATACCCACATCTTTTTATATTCATACTATGATACATACATGTAGTACAATATGTAGGAAGTGTAACTGAACCTCAAAATTTTCAAAACATGATGACATGTAACATAAATGCATTTCTGTTCATAAATATAATAAATCTATTAGGAAATATTTACTTATATATATATATATATACATGATCTATATTTATATATATATATATATTAGTCAGGGGAATTACTGAAATGAGTGATCTTAAATCACTGATTCAAGTAACATTTTGTCCAGAAATGTTGGAAGTAAGAGTTGTCTTTCTTTAATAATCACCTATTTAAGTATTATAAATAAATAACTAGACTAAGCATGCTTAGTGATTTAATTTTGTTGTAGCTTTAAATATATAATACTAATGATCCAGGGACTAATTGTGTTGCTAAAATTATCAGAACCAACATCTGTGTTCATAAGATGACCGGCTATGTCAGGTGATGACCCTGTACTGAATCTGGGATAATGACATGAAAATCACTTGTTTAAGTGGATACCTCTAAGACTATTTTCTTCCAAAAAAATCACTTCTTTAAGTATTATCATTTTGATTACCCCCACTAATTTCAACACCCATGAACAGTGAAATTTTGATCGAGAACAATAAAATTTTATCACAATTATAATCTCTAAAACCTTGAATTTTACAGGAAAAATACTCCCACTGGCACTGTTAAATTATAAGCCTTCATTTTTAACTTTTTTTCAACAAATATAGAATTTACAGCTGAATGATTGCATCAAAAGGCATAAACCTTGCTACTTAAAACATGCAAAAGGTTCATTTTTTTCAATTTTACTAATAATAGGATATAATCTAAACTTGTATGTTTAAAATTTTGGTAACCTACAAAATCAAAGAATTTCTAATTTGCTACTTAAATGAGTGATTTATAAACCTATTTCAATAATTCCCCTGACTGTATATATATATTATAGACTTTATAGTAACAATGTTGCAATTTTTTATGATTAAACTGAACATGTTAATGAACCATTGGCTGTTGCCTGTAGTCCAAATAAAAAATTCAATAAAAAAAATCCCATAAACTAATTAAGATACAAATATACATGTACATAAATTTTGAAAATTACTATCAAAAGTGTAAACACATATATATATATAATATCCCATTTAGTTTTATTTAAAATTACCTCAGGAAATAGTTTCTGGTGATTTCTCCCATTATCAGGTATAAATCTAGCTGGAATGTCAGACCTTTTTAATAGGACAATCCCTCAGACATAAGAGAACCGGTCCTAATGTTCTAGTGAGGAACCTTGGCCCTCTCACGTCAAGTAGTGGTAGACAATTTCTGAAAGACAATTCAACAATAAACATTGATTTCAAAAAGTTCAGATAAGACTAATTAAAAGTGAGGTAACTAAATAGTTCTTTAATCCAAACAAATTTTAGATCTAAGGAAGTTAAATACATGAAATACAAACAGTAACAATTTTCAGACCTGCCAACTCGAGATCTGATATCAATACACATCTTGAACCAAATTTTATTCAATGGCTTACAGGAACATAAGATACTGATTAAATTTAAAATACTTTCAAATTTCTTATCAACTGCTTTAACTTGATAAATCACATTTCCCACATTAATTAATAAAAGAAAATTTAATATAAGTTTGGATTTACAAAAGGAACTGTACATGTATGCAGAGTATATCTAAAATAATGAAGTTGTTCGCCCAACCTTTTCTTAATTCAAGGACAAATAACATATCAAAAGTTGGCAGTTGATGATTAAAATGGTGTATAAAGTTTCTGCAATTCATAGAAACACATCATAATATACAAAATGTATCATTCATTTGACATGATTACTGTGATATCCAGTGGCAAGTGTTTCATAAATATTCAGTAAACAAATTTCAAATAATTCTTATAGTTAGGCATGTATGGGTTTTGCTCATTGTTAAAGGCTGTACAGTGAATTTCAATAACGGCCGGGTACCAGTCTATACACGCCCGCGTTCCAATGTCGTCAAAACTATTTTTGAGAAAACCCCTCAAAGCGACCGTTTCCAAGGCGCTCGTCGTTAGAAACATGCGTTAAAATATGCGCACTGTTAAAGGGCCGAGCCACCTCAAATGGCCTTTAGCACTTATGCCCATTACTTTTTTAACCATGGCGTTAACAGTTTCTTTTCGACTTATGAGTTTGAATGCCCCTTTGTCGCCACTATTTTTTTTTACCCATACGAGTTTGTCAGCATAAGATGAGGGGATGGGGAGAACTGTGGTACCTTGTATGTCACGTATTCCTATTAAACTATTGCCGGCTGGCAAAACTAAGAGATTCACCACGTTGGCCATGATACCAGAGGTAGAAGAAGACATTGCCACAAATATGGCTCATAACACTTATGCCTAGCCTAGACCTATACGACTTTGTCAGCATTGGGTGAACAGGGGAAGGAGGGGTACCTAGTATGTCACAGTCTGACTTTACTCTTGCCGCCTGGCCAAAGTAAGAGACTCTCCACGTTGTCCATGTTACCAGAGGTAGAGGTCGATATAACCTCAAAAATGGCTTAAAGGAGTAATGCCCAAGACCTTTACGAGTTTGTCAGCATCGGGGTGTGAAGGGGGTGGGAGAACTTGGTATGTTGCATAGAAAGACTTAACTATTGCCGGATGACCAAACTAAAAGATTCTACACGTTGGCCATGATACAAAAGGTAGAGGAAGACATTGCCTCTAAAATGGCACTTAGCACTTATGCCCTTGGCCCAAACGAGCTTGTCAGCATTGGGTGAAAAGGGGGAGAAGGGGTACTTAGTGTCACATAGTGTGACTTAACTATTGCCGGATATAGCCAGACTAAGATATTTCCACGTTGGCCATGGTCCCATACAATACTTTATTCTCTTTAATCAAATACTACGACTGGAAGAGGGAGACATTGCCTCTAAGATGGTCTATAGCATTTATGCCCTAAGCCCGTATGAGTTTGTCAGCATACGGTTGAGGGGGGAGGTTCCTGGCATGTCACATAGTCCGACTTAATTATTGCCGGCTGGCCATACTAAGATCTTCTCCCTATTGGCCATGATATAAGAGGTAGAAGACATTGCCTCTAAAATGGCCCTAAGCACTTATGCCCTTGACCCATACTTGTCAGCATTTGGTCAATGGATTTTGTTTTTGTGGGGGGGGGGGGGGGGGTTGTACCTGGTATGTCACATAGTCTTTATTTACTATTGCCGTCTGGTCAAACTAAAAGATTCTCCATGTCGGCCATGGTACCAGAGGTAGAGGTAGATATTGCTTCTTAAATAGTTCGTTGCGCTCATGCCCTAGACCCGTACGAGTTTGTCAGCATAGGATGCAAAGGGTAGGGGGAACTGGTAACCGTATGTCACATAATACAATTTAACTATTACCGGCTGGCCAAACTAAAAGATTATTTACGTTATCCATGATCCCAGAGGTAGAGGTATACATTACTTCTAAATTAGTCCATAGCACTGATGTTTTAGACCCGTACGAGTTTTCAGCAGAGGGTTTTGAGGTACATGGTTTGGCTCATTGTCCAACTTTACTATTGCCGGCTGGTCATGATATAAGAGGAAGAAAACATTGCCTCTAAAATAGCCTTTATCACTTATGCCCTTGACCCATACGAGCTTGTCATTATTGGATGAAGGATAGGGGTACCTGGCCATGGTATGTCATATAGTCTGACTCAACTATTGCCAGCTGGTCAAACAAGAGATTCTCCACGTTGGCCTTGGTTCCAGAGGTAGAGGTAGATATTGCCTCTGAAATGGATCATAGCACTTATGCCTTAGACTCGTACGAATTCGTCAGCATGGGATAAAAAGGGGGCATCGGTTATGTCACAAAGTCCAACTTAACTATTACCGGCTGGCCAAACTAAAAGATTCTCCACGTTAACCATGATACAAAAGGTAGAGGAAGACACTGCCTCTAAAATGGCACTTAGCACATATGCCCTTGGCCTAAAACGGGCTTGTCAGCATTGGGTGAAAAGGGGGAGAAGGGATACCTAGTGTCACATAGTATGACTTAACTCTTGCCGGATATAGCTAGACTAAGAGATTTCCACGTTGGCCATGGTCCCATACAATATATTCTCTTTAATCAAATACTACCAGAGGAAGAGGGAGACATTGCCTCTTAGATGGTCTATAGCATTTATGCCCTTAGCCCGTATGAGTTTGTAAGCATACGGTTGAGGGTGGAGGTTCCTGGCATGTCACATAGTTCGACTTTACTCTTGCCGCCTGGCCAAACTAAGAGACTCTCCACGTTGTCCATGTTACCAGAGGTAGAGGTCGATATAACCTCAAAAATGGCTTAAAGGAGTAATGCCCAAGACCTATACGAGTTTGTCAGCATTGGGGTGCGAAGGGGGTTGGAGAACTTGGTATGTTACATAGAATGACTTAACTATTGCCGGATGACCAAACTAAAAGATTCTCCACGTTAACCATGATACAAAAGGTAGAGGAAGACACTGCCTCTAAAATGGCACTTAGCACTTATGCCCTTGGCCCAAACGAGCTTGTCAGCATTGGGTGAATAGGGGGAGAAGGGGTACCTAGTGTCACATAGTATGACTTAACTCTTGCCGGATATAGCTAGACTAAGAGATTTCCACGTTGGCCATGGTCCCATACAATACTGTAAGGTACTGGGGAATGTTATACTGAAACAAATAGTTTTTAAATTGTGCGGTGTAATTTATAAAAAATACTTAATTTGTGGCAAGACTGACAAATATTTTATAATGATTTTTTACAATTGTTGCAGTAATTCACTATACTTATTACTATGATCACAAGTCAAAATTCAAGTTTTTACCAAATATTATCTTTTAAACTTAACGGTTGTGGTCTTACGCATAGTAACTTGGCTCGCAGCGAGCAAGGGAAACATTTTACATTTGTAATCAAAGATATGGCATTAATTTACTATTTTTTATGGATTTCAGAGGCCAAAGTTTCACTTTTTGCCAATAAATTACAGGGGGAGGCATTTCATTAGCCAACACATAGTTTTACAAGTTAGGTGTGTACATATGTTGGTACTAGGGTGATATATATCCAGTAAAGCAACTGATTTTATGTGAAAGCTCTGGAATTTGAAATGAGTTTGTCATTGTTTACATTTTTTTTTGTGTACAAGTGTTACGGCAGGGAATGTATGTAATTACTCATGGGTTACCTTCTTCATGCTATATATCATGTAATTCCCGTATTAAGGATCATTTCTGGTAACCAAATATTCATATTTAAACGTCTGATATGCCTGGTATACATAGGGAAATACTTTAACTGCAATTGTTTACTGACCGGCGATTTTGCCGTCTGCCATTTTGTGGGGAATGAAACGTTGATTTTATCTCTCTTAATACCAATTCGTCCCCTGGACAATTGATCTAATATTGTATTTTTAATACCACACATTTAATATCTTATGGTTATACCCTGCCGGACACAAATATATTGTAAATATTTAATTGGTTGTGATGAACTATGTTTTAATGTTATTTACTTCTATTTACTTGCGAATATCGTCTGCTAAATTAATGTGCACGCAGTGGTGTCCGATTGCATATTTCAAGTTATTTTATTGATATTATGAGCTCTATTGTTTAGTTTTAATGTTTTATGTTAAAGGACAATCATAGGACAACTCAAGATGATTTCAATACTATGTTTTTCAATATGGTAATTTTGTATAGTTCCGGCTTCCCGGAAAGGACAAGTAACTATTGGATTGGTATGTCACGTGACACTTATGACTTTTGTATATAAACGCGTGAGCATTCAGTAATGGCAGATAGCCCAAAGTTCTGCTGGCGGCAAGTTCAAAAAGTTCACTATCATTAAAATTGTAAACAAAACAGTAAAAATAAGCTTAAGGTGAGCATAAGGATTAATATGGAATATTAGTGGCCGTCTTTTTGTACAGTAAGCTATCTCCCACCACGTCGGACACCACAAATATGAATTTAGATCGTAATTTAGTTCCTATGCACTATGATATATTGTACTGTATGCAAGTATTAGAATTGTCATAATTCGTTATTTATTCAAATATATTTAAACAGCTCCACAAATAAAACTGTTAACATTGAAATGATATTCTATCTTTATCAATCTTGGATACATATAAAAAGGAATATGCATTTACACTGGTAAAACAACTTGAGCTGGAGGACGCTCGTTCGAAATTAAAAACTATGGAAAGCCGTTAGCAACACAAATAGCACAATAACAAATAAATACAAAGGAAGCCGTTTAATACACATGCATTAACCAAACAGAGGAACTATATTTAAACACAAACTGAGGTGCTCCGGGGATACTGCATTTTATGAGTGTTCGTATGTAAACTGCCCAGTATAGGACATGATACTCTCGGGTGGCTTACAATTTAGTGTCAGAAGTGGGATGCTAAAATTCTAATTAGCATCCAGGATACGAACCTTGGAATAACCTGTCAACTAAACAATGTGGTTTAAGCCCGACGTGGTGGATTTACTGTACAAAAATAATTATAACTAAAAAAATATGAAACAACAAATAAAATTAAAAGTCTTTATTTAGAATATGGCTGATGCTGGTAGGAACTCCCCAGACCCTGAAATAAATTTCCGTAGGGAAAGGGATTTAGATTACTTAGGACAAGGGGACCAAATACATACTGATGACAATGACGACTTTGATAGGGAATCTATTTTACCAGGTCATGGTGATGAAATAGCTCAGAGACCTAAAGGACGGGATGAATATCAGAGACATGATTTTGATGATAGGAATGATAGGGGTAATCATAACATGCAACCAATTGGCCCACCAAAGGTAACACTTAAACCTGAACCCTTCTCTGGTAAGGATTGTTGGGAGGAATACTTGTCGCATT